GTTTCCTCACACTTAGGACTCATGGGTATTGTCTGTCCAATCATGAACTCTGTCTGTTAGAATTTACCATGAGAGGTAGTAAGGCCATAGGGATGTCTATAGCCCTGCAGGTGGTGGGGACTTGACAGAGATTTTGGGGACTTTGGGGCCCTCTGAATTCTTCCTACATAGTCTGAAAAATTAACCTCCTAATTCTATTAAAGTATTCAGTTATTGCCATACATCAAAAATTTTAAAAAAGTGAGAATAAATACTTCTTAATGCTTTAGTTTTTTTTCCTCTTAAGAGGGAGAATACTTAAATTTTGGTGACCTCATTTGTCATTTTAAATTCCTTTGAGGTAGTGGAAATAAAGGTGCTATTATCTTCATTTGTGGGGAGAAGTAATTGAAGTTCAGTGTGAAAAGAATACTGGCTTTGGAGTCAGGCAGATGGGACTCAATTGCTGGCTCCTCCATTTTCTGTTATATTTCCAAGTTCCATTGTTCTCATCTGTATAATGAGGATAAGCAGAGTGTTGTTTGGAGCCTCAAGGATGTAATGCTCACAAAAGGATAACGAATATGTAAGTGTGGCTGTCATTGTGGTTGTGTGGGGATGACTTTTCACACTGGTCCAGGGTCACCCTTAGGTGGGAACTCATGTCTGGTCATTCCTTATTGAATGCTGTGCAAACTTCTTCACTGGAGTTGTTTCTTTACATTTTAAAATCCAAGTGTTTTAACCTTTTGATTATTAATTTATTTTTAATGTGCCTGTTATAGAGAGGTTTTGTATTCAGCTGGCCACATGCAATGCCCATTATGTCAAAATCCCAAATTTACCTTGTTTCACGAGGCAGAGTTAATGTTAGTGAATCCACATGACCAACAAGGAATATAACACAGAATCCGTCAGGTGGTGTTTGGGCAGCTTTCTCAGAGAGCAAAAACAGCATGTTTATACTGAATTACTATGTGGTCAGCATTGTGTGAAGTAGGGGATACAAAAGAAACACCTTCTTTATTTGTCTATTACAGGACTGACAGTGTTTTGGGGCAAACTGATGTGATTGAAACCTAACATGATTAAAGAACAATAATAAACACTATTTGATCCAGTCATGTTAAGTGGGTTCTGATCTGGGCACTGCATGGGCTCATAGATTGGTGGATCAAGAGACAAGAACACCCATACTTAAAGCTGGTTTGATAAACAAGAATAAGGTTTACAGGGTGCAGGAGAGAGGTTATGTGGTATGTGTGTGTGTGTGCATTTGGGTGGTGCTTGAGTTGATCCTGATGACTAGTGGGGGATGCTGGACAGAGGAATACTGAGCGAGGAGGACAGAAAATCACATTTTAAAAGTCACTGAGACACGAGAGAGCCTGGGGATGATGAAGAACAGCATTTGCTCAGTATTCCTGATGGCCTGAACTTAGGGTTTATGGGTTTAGTGGTGGGAGAACGGGCTGGAGAAATGAGCAAGGGATACGTCAGTGAAGACCTTGTGTCCCATGCTGAGAAGGCTGAGCATGAAGGCATTGGCAACCAAGCAGGCAAGAGATGATCATAGCAATGTTTCAGAATGACCACTCTAGGAGGATCTTCCAGCAAAACAGGTGAGAAGTAGGGCCTGAATCAATTCTTAGAAGAAAGAGAAAATGAATAAATATAAAATAGTAGAGTGAGTAAATAGGTATGCTCATTGTAAGCATTGTAGGAGTTTAGAGAAAGGGGATGCTACAGTGGGAACAATATTTGAGGGACACTCTCCTGGAGGCAGATTTGAGTGCCAGCCCAGTGACTTGCCTATAGTAGATAGCCAATAAGCTGGGTATTGAATGGCAGTAAGATTTATATGAGAGAAAGACATAATGTGTGAAATGGTCAAGGAGACAAATCTAATTGGAAAAGAGTGGTACATATACTAGTATACACATTGATTATATATTTTTGGAAGACTTTGAAATGCCAGGTTAAGGAGTTTAAACTTAATCAATAAGAAGCTACTGAAGATTCTTTTTTTTTTAATATATTTTTTATTGATTAAGATATTACATATGTGTCCTTGTCCCCACGTTACCCTCTACCCCCCCACCCCCCGCTCATGCCCTCACCCCCCCCCCCGTTGTCCGTGTCCATTGGTTAGGCCTATATGCTTGCATATAAGTCCTTTGGTTGATATTTCCCCCTTACCCCTACCCTCCCCTACCTTCCCTCCAAGGCCCGACAGTCCAATCAATGCCTCTCCGTCTCTGGATCAGTCCTTGTTCATCAGTTTATGTTGTTCATTATATTCCACAAATGAGTGAGATCTTGTGGTATTTATCTGCTCTCCAGTTCCATCCATGCTGTGGCAAATGGTAAGAGTTCCTTTTTCTTCTTCCTCTTCTTAAAGAATACCTTTCAGCATTTCATATAATGCTGGTTTGGTGGTGATGAACTCCTTTAGCTTTTTCTTATCCGTGAAGCTCTTTATCTGACCTTCTATTCTGAATGATAGCTTTGCTGGATAAAGTAATCTTGGTTGCAGGTTCTTGCTATTCATCACTTTGAATATTTCTTGCCACTCTCTTCTGGCCTGCATGGTTTCTGTTGAGAAATCAGCTGACAGTCGTATGGGTACTCCCTTGTAGGTAACTGACTGTCTTTCTCTTGCTGCTTTTAAGATTCTCTCTTTATCTTTTGCTCTTGGCATTTTAATTATGATGTGTCTTGGTGTGGTCCTCTTTGAATTCCTTTTGTTTGGGGTTCTCTGCACTTCCTGGACTTGTAAGTCCATTTCTTTCACCAGGTAGGGGAAGTTTTCTGTCATTATTTCTTCAAAAAGGTTTTCAATATCTTGCCCTCTCTCTCTTTCTGGTACCCCTATAATTCTGATGTTGGTACGCTTGAAGTTGTCCCAGAGGTTCCTTACACTATCTTCATATTTTTGGAATCTCTTTTCTTTTTTCTTTTTCAGTTGGGTATTTTTTGTTTCTTTGTATTTCAAATCTTTGACTTGATTCTTGGGATCCTCTTGTCTGCTGTTGGATCTCTGTAAATTATTCTTTATTTCAGTCAGTGTATGCTTAATTTCTAGTTGGTCCTTTTTCATGTCCTCCATGGTCTCACTATACTTATTGAGGGATTCATTAAATTTATCGGCGGTTTCCATAAAATTCTTGAAAAACCTTATAAACGTGGCTTTGAACTCTATATCCAGTCGTTTGCTTTCCTCCATTTCTGCCTTTTGTGACCTGTTTCTTTGTCTCCGCATTTTGGCTGTTTCCCTGTGTTGATAGAGTGGCCCTGTGTGCCAGGTGTCCTGTAGGGCCCAGTGGCTCAGCCTTCCCAGTTACCTGAGGTGGACACTCTTGGTGCACTCTTGGTGCCTTGGTTGTTGTAGGATCACTGGGAGGAATTGACCTCCAGGCCAATTGGCTGTGAGAATCAGCTGTGTCTGAAGTGGGAGAACTTCTGTGCTGAAGACACCCTTCTGGGGCAAGACTTGCTTCAGTGAGGCTTTGGTGCTCACTGAGTCTGCTCCGTGAGTGTGTCCCTTATGGATCTGAGGAGTTGCAATCTGGATGGTCCCCCTCTGACCACTGGGTACAGTGGCTCCTGGATCTAAGGAGGTGCTAATTCAGCCTCTGCCTGAGGCCACACAGCAGGAGCCACGAAGAGGCTCAGCTGTGAAGCAATGCAAGCCGCTGCGGGGCCTTGGGCCTTCTCTTGGAAGTTCTGGGTCTGCCTGGCTCGGCTGCAGTTAGGTACATTCACATGCAAAAGCCTCTGCCGCAGCCTGGGTGGGGTGGGGTCTCAGGGAATCAAAGGGCGGAGCAAGCAGCTATGGCTGATTCTCCTAAGGAGTCGCGCGTCTCAGTGACCCGATAATTGCTGCAAGCACCTCTGAGGGAAAGCCGCACTCAAGTTCGCCCGCTGCCCGACAGTCCAGCTTCTCCCCGTATGAGTCCTGGGTCCCAGAGACTTCCTGGAACCGGAGTTCAGAGCAGTCGGGAGCTTGTGATTCAAAAAAAAGCCGCGTCCTCAGGTGCCACCCCCTTTCCGCGCGTGCGCGAGCCGCCGTACCTCTGCACTTCACCTCCGCAGCTCCTCTGGCTCTCAGTGTGCTTTTCTTTCCTTCTAGTTGTAGAATTTACACTCAGCCAGCCTTCCTGTTGTTCTGGATGATGTCTGCTCTGTCCTTTGTGGTATTTTTCAATTGTTGAGGGAGGTGGCAATTTCCCGGTGTTTATCTATGCTGCCATCTTAGTTTCTCCGCTACTGAAGATTCTTAAACAGATATTTTGATATACTAGAAATGTGTTCATATTTTGGGCCTCTTCATCTTGGTTGAAGATGTGTTTAGTGAAATGACATTAATTCTGATTCTTATATTTAATGGAAACGCCACAGAGACAGAATTAATTTAGATTGGGAAATAGTCAGATGACCCCACTTTGGCTGTGGGGAGACTGTGGAATAGTTCATTGTAGGGAGACAAAGGGCACTGAGGCAGAAATGAATCAGTCCACATAGGAGATTTTTGATGTTACCAGTCTAGAGAGGGATGGAACAAATAGAAAGATGGGAGAAAGTGCTTGCCCTGTGGAGTCTTTTAAGGGTAGTAAATACACGGCATGCACAGTCACTATCTCCATCCCATACCAGGCACACAGTGCTCCAGGCAACTACCAATTGCTCACAGTTGGCATTGGAATTCAAACCTATCTGTCATGTCTATAATAAGAAATGAATGCTATGCCCTGGCTGTTGTGGCTCAGTTGATGGAACATAGTCACATGCACTGAGAGGTTGCCGGTTTGATTCCTGGTCAGGGCACATACCTGGGGTTGTGGGCTCAATCCCCAGTAGGGGCTCTGCAGAAGGCAGCCGATCAGTGTTTCTCATTGATGTTTCTCTCTCCCCCTCTCCATTCCTGTCTCTTGGAAATACATTACAATTTTTACAAAAGCAATGAGTGAGAAATAGATTATGATTGTACTCATGATGAAAATCAATTTTTATTTTTCCAGGTGGAACTTGCGGAAATCTGTGCCAAGAGTGAGCGGTATATTGGCACCGAAGGAGGAGGGATGGACCAGTCCATATCATTTCTTGCAGAAGAAGGAACTGTAGGTGGCATTGAGCTTTTTGGAAATATCAGCTAGGGAAAGCTCACACAGAGAGGAAGGTTATGAGATCCCTAGCATGCTCAATTTTGGGCAGTCTATTCTATTAGACTCTATTGTAGCATGGTTTTCTCCTCTCCTTTGTAATTCAAGGCTACCACCAGTTCACCTATTCTGTTTCATGTTGATCACCTTTCCCTTAAGCTTCCAGGCTCATCCCTCAAGTCTGTTTTTCTCTTGTGTCTAGGTGTTTTTTTTTCTTCCTCCTAATTCATTGTTAGGATGATTTCTCAATTCCCTAGTTGTTGAGACCTCTTTTCCCTCTCTCGTCCTAAATCACTTCATCTCATGGCATTTCCTAATCTCTTGTTGGTTTTAAACCCAAATGTTAGTTTTCTTACCACATATATTCACAACCCCTCTTTAAACAATTTACTCTTTGGTATCATTTTTCTCTGTCAACATTTTTGGGGTTTCAGCGGTGAGGAAAAGAATGTTGACAGTAAGCCAGGAATGAATTCCTTAGCTAGATACCACTTCCCCCTGGCTATCAACTCCTTAGACAGAGCACAAGTTTTGGGTTGTTGGTCATAAAGTGCCCATTTCCAAAGTAGAAGCAGTCATTTTTTTTTAGTTTCTTTTTATTTTATTTTATTTATTGATTAAGTTATTACATATGTGTCCTTATCACCCCATTGTCCCCCAATCCCCCTCCCCCCTACTCATGCCCTCATCCCCCTGTTGTCTGTGTCCATTAGTTAGGCTTATATGCATGCATACAAGTCCTTTGGTTGATCTCTCCCCCTTACCCTTTCCCTCCTTCTGATGTTTGACGGTCTGATCAATGCTTCTCTGTCTCTGGATCTGTTTTTGTTCATCAGTTTATGTTATTCATTATATTCCACAGATGAGTGAGAGCATGTGATATTTATCTTTCTATGACTGGCTTATTTCGCTTACCATAATGCTCTCCAGTTCCATCCATGCTGTTGCAAATGGCAAGAATTCCTTCTTTTTTACCGCAGCGTAGTATTCCATTGTGTAGATGTACCACAGTTTTTTAATCCACTCATCTGCTGATGGGCACTTAGGCTGTTTCCAAATCTTAGCTATTGGTGAATTGTGCTGCTATGAACATAGAGGGGTGCATATATCCTTTCTGATTGGTGTTTCTAGTTTCTTGGGATATATTCCTAGAAGTGGGATCACTGGGTCAAATGGGAGTTCCATTTTTAGTATTTTGAAGAAACTCCATACTATTCTCCACAGTGGCTGCCCCAGTCTGCATTCCCACCAGCAGTGCACAAGGGGTCCTTTTTCTCCACATCCTCGCCAGCATTTGTCATTTGTTGATTTGTTTATGATAGCCATTCTGACAGGTGTTAGATGGTACCTCATTGTTGTTTTGATTTGTATCTCTCGGATGATTAGTGACTTTGAGCATGTTTTCATATGTCTCTTGGCCTTCCTTACATCTTCTTTTGAAAAGTATCTATTTAGGTCCCTTGCCCATTTTTTGGTTGGGTTGTTTATCTTCCTTTTGTTAAGTTGTAAGAGTTCCCTGATGTTGGAGATTAAATCCTTATTGGTGATAACTTTGGCAAATAAGTTCTCCCATGCAGTGGGCTTTCTTGTTGTTTTGGTGATGGTTTCTTTTGTTGTGCAAAAGCTTTTTATTTTGATGTAGTCCCATTTGTTTATTTTTCTCTTTAGTTTCCATTGCCCTAGGAGCTGTATCAGTGAAGAAATTGTTTCGGCATATGTCTGAGATTTTGCTGCCTATGGATTCCTCTAGTATTTTTTTGGTTTCCCGTCTTATGTTTAAGTCCTTTATCCATTTGAAGCAGACATTTCTTTAAAATATTTTCTTAGTTTTTCATCAGATTTCTACAGGCTTGGCTATTTTCCCAGAATACCTGGATTTTTTCTTATTAAGAATATTTGTTGCTTATTCCCCTAAGCCAAAGACATGAGGCATGAGGAAATTTGGTTTAATGCTAAGAAAATACTCTGGGTGTTTTGGATGAGATCTGACAAGCAGACATGATGGCACGAGTCCTGATGTTAATGTAAGTTAGATGTAGATCTGAACAAAGTCCCAATTCTTTGGGCTTGCAAAGCACTTTACAATCTGACTCCTGCTTTACCCCTCGTATCTACCCTTTCACCATTCCTCCCCCTTCAAACTCTAAGCTTCAGCTAATTTTCAGTTTCCAAAGCTCTAAGAACATCTCATGGTGTTTTCCCACCTCTGAGCTTGCTTATGCTTTTCCCTCACCTTGACATCCTATTTGGGTAAAGACACCCTCTGCCTGTCCTACTCTTGCTCATCCTCTAAGACTCAGTTTAGATTTCCCTTTTTTCAAGTGAGCCCGCTCTAGGCTATATCTGATCAGGTGTTTTAAGTATGTGTCTGTATAGCACCCTGCCCTTTACAACCATTGTAACACAACCTGGAAATGTACTTGTCTACTTGACTGCCTTTCCCACTAGGTTGGAAGCTCTATGAGGGCAGGGACAGTGTCTATCTTATTCACTGTTGTATCTTCTATGCCTAGTACAGTAACTGGAAGTCAACAAATAATACTTGAATGGTAAATGCATTTTTAGGAAAAAATTTACTAAGATAAATAAGTGCATAAATGGTTAAACATTTTCTGAAATTTTCTTCCAATAGGCCAAGTTGATAGAATTTAGCCCTCTGAGGGCAACTGATGTGAAACTCCCCAGTGGAGCAGTGTTTGTGATTGCCAACAGTTGTGTGGAAATGAATAAGGCAGCAACTTCCCATTTCAACATCAGGGTGATGGAGTGTCGGCTGGCTGCAAAGGTATGAACTTGGCACACTATTGACCCTTAAAGTAAGCTTTCTCTGGTTCTTATTCTCTTTGTTCTCTATTACTTTATCTCTTTAACAAAAATCAGGGAAACATTCTGACTGCAGCAACATTCTAATTCAGGGGTCCTCAAACTTTTTAAACAGGGGGCCAGTTCACTGTCCCTCAGACCGTTGGAGGGCCGGACTATAGTTTAAAAAAAAAACTATGAACAATCTTATGCACACTGCACATATCTTATTTTGAAGTTAAAAAAAAAAAGGGAACAAATACAATATTTGTATTTGCATGTGGCCCGCGGGTCGTAGTTTGAGGACCCCTGTTCTTCCAAACTTAGGCGATAAATAAGCCTATAGGTGTGCCCTGCAACCTCTAGCTATTGAGAAATATATGAACTTCACAATTGAGTCTTTAGAGTAGGACTAGGGAAAGAGGACAGCTTATGTATGTGAAGCACAGGCCATGGATTCAGTTTTTGTGTGGAGAAAGCTAGTTGGAGGTGATTGATGGGAAGTGACCATAGCTGATTTTGTTTCCAGAACAAAAGTGATGGCAGCCTCAATCCTTGGTCCTCCTACATGTATCATTTTGTACTGGGCCATCACTGGTTACTCTAAAAATATAGGCTTGGTGCAACCCTCCCTGTGCCCAGAAGATTCCTACATGTCTACTGGGAAAACACAAACCACAAGGGAGTCCTGCCAGTTCTTTGCTCCACATTTTAGAAGACCCTTGCCAGCCCAGCCTTAAATCTACTGAGGAAGTATTCATTGAATACTTGTTGATATACAAAAGGATCCAGAACATAAGACTAGAGAGAGTAAAGAATTAAAGTTATGAGGATAAAAAATCCCTTCGTAAATTATATTAATGTCTCACCACTATGCTGTACACCTGAAATGAACATAAAATAATACTGAATGCCAACTGCAATTGAAAAAAAGAGAGAAAAAGATAAATAGGAGACGATTAGTATGTGATCAGGTGGTATATAACCAGGTGCCACAAATTAAATGTTATGGAGGATCCAGCAAAGCTCATGATATGGCTAAAAAAGTGAAGAGAACTGAGGCTGGGAGCTGGGTAGTGGCATCTGGGTCAGGAGCTCCACTGTGCTTTCTCCTAATCATTCTTCAAATAGTGGTTAGAATGATGGTTTGGAAATTTAAATCTGATCAGGCAGTTCCCCTACTTAGCACCTTCCAAAAGCTTTGCATTTCATTGGAATAAAATAAAGTCGTCTTCCCCTCTCAGCACCCGTACTCCATTGCGCTCTAGCCTGAGTGACTTTGCACATGCCCAGAACAATCCTCCCCTCTTTGAAGGCTCAGCCCACATGCCCCTCAGGGAAGCCTTCCTTGACTTCCTTATTCCCAGACTAAGGTAGGGGTCCTTTTGTATTTGACATCTCAGTAACATTACTATCACAACTGTTTAATGTCTGCCTCCATTTTCTGATTTGATTTTACCTGAAAACTAAGACTGTGTCCATCTAATATCCCTAATGCCTGGCATAGTGCTTAGGCTAAAGTAGGCACAGGGTAAACATCCTATCTAATAAAAGAGAAACATGGTAATTAGCCGTACCTCCACTACCCTTCCCATTGGCTAATCAGGGCAATATGCAAATTGACTGCCAGCCAAGATGGCGGCCGGCAGCCAGGCAGCTTGAAGTGAACATGAGTCTTGCTTGCTTCAGTGATGGAGGACTCCAACGTTCCCCGCCTGCCGCTGCCGGCCTCTGAGCTGGCAGTTTGAAACATTGTTACAAATATAGAAGTTAAACAAAACCCCAGAAACCTGCTTTCAGCCAGCCGGGATCTCAGAGCCGGAGTTTAAACAGTGTTTCAATTATAGAACCCAAACAAACCAGATATCTGCTTTCAGCAGCCGAGGCCAAAGAGCTGGAGCCAAGCCTCAGAGCTAAAGCTGGCCCAGAATAGAAAGAAAAAAAAAAAAAAGGAGCAGTTGGGAGCTTCAGTCACCCCCAGCCTGAAAACAGCCCTCAGCCCCTCACCCAGACTGGCCAGGCACCCCGGAGGGGACCCCACCCTGAAGGGTGTGTGACCAGCTGCAAACAGCCATCATCCCCTCACCCAGGCTGACCAGGCACCCCAGTGGGTACCCCCACCCTGATCCAGGACACCCTTCAGGGCAAACCAGCCAGCCCCCACCCATGCACAGGGCCTCTATCCTATATAGTAAAAGGGTAATATGCCTCCCAGCACCGGGATCAGCGGAGCCGCGAGGCCTCCTGGCACCGGGATCAGCATGACGGGGGCAGCGCCCAAACCCCCTGATCACCCTGCGGCTCTCTGTGTGACAGGGGGCGGGGCCACAACCTCCCTATCCACCCTGCTCTGTTTGGGACAGGGAAAGGCGCCCCAACCCCCTGATCAGCCCTGCTCTGTGCCTGATAGGGGGACGCTCCCCAACCCCCTGATCGCCCTGTGGCTCTGTGTGTGACAGGGTGCGGTGCCCCAACCCCAGCCCCACCCCCCCATGGGCCCTGCTCTGTGTGTGACGGGGTAGAGCCATAACCTCCCCATCGGCCCTGCCCTGAGTGTGACAGTGGCGGCGCCCCAACCCCCTGATCAGCCCTGCTCTGTGGGTGATAGAGGGCGGCTCCCCCACCGTCCCCCACGGGCCCTGCTCTGTGTGTGACGGGGTAGAGCCATAACCTGCCCATCGGCCCTGCCCTGAGTGTGACAGGGTGTGGCGCCCCAACCCCCTGATCTTCCCTGCTCTGTGTGTGACAGGGGGCGGTGCCCCAACTCCCCTATTAGCCCTACTCTGTGAGTGACAGGGGGGAGCTCCTCAACCCCCTGATCGGCCCTACTCTGTGCGTGACAGGGGGGAGCTCCCAAACCCCCTGATGGGCCCTACTCTGTGTGTGACAGGGGGGAGCTCCCCAACCCCCTGATCGACCCTGCTCTGTGCATGACAGGGTACGGAGCCCCAACCCCCCCAATGGGCCCTGCTCTGTGAGTGACAGGGGGAAGCGCCCCAACCCCCTGATTGGTCCTGCTCTGTGCGTGATAGGGGGTGGCGCTGCAACCTCCCCATCGACCCTGCCTTGAGTGTGACAGGGCGCAGTGCCCCAACCCCCCAATCGGCCCTACCCTGAGCATGACTGAGGATGGCCTCGCAACCTCCCGATCCACCATGCTCTGTGCATGATGGGGCGGCGCCCCAACACCCCAATCAGCCCAGCTCTGAGCCCGACCAGGGGCTGCTCCTAGGGATTGGGCCTGCCCTCTGCCACCCAGGAGCAGGCATAAGTCAGAAGGTGGTCATCCCCTGAGGGTTCCCAGACTGCAAGAGGGCACAGGCCGGGCTGAGGGCCTCCCCTCTCCCCCCTGAGTGCACAAATTTTTGTGCACCGGGCCTCTAATCCTATATAATAAAAGCCTAACATGCTAATTGTCTGGTTGTCCATTTGACCGTTCAACCAATCAAAGCGTAATATGCTAATGATATGCTAAGGCTGCTCAACTGCTTGCTGTGTCATGCACTGACCACCAGGGGGCAGACAGTCGACCGGTCGACCAGTAGCTATGATGTGTACTGACCACCAGGGAGTAGATGCTCCGACCAGTAGGTTAGCTTGCTGCTGAGGTCTGGCCAATCGGGACTGAGCGAAATGGGCTGGACTTGTCCTGGAGCCCTCCCACAGTCCTTCCCTGGCTTGACAACCTCCCACGTCCCTCCCCAGCCCTTGTCGTGCACCAGTGGGGTCCCTCTGCCTGGCCTGTGCCCTCTCGCAATCTGGGACCCCTTGGGGGATGTCGGAGAGCCGGTTTTGGCCTGATCCCGCAGGCCAGACCGAGGGACCCCACTGGTGCACAAATTTGTGCACTGGGCCTCTAGTTTGTTAAATAAATGAGTGACTACTGCCTGTGTGCCTGCCCTGTCATATTTATTTTGCTCAAGTTTACACTTTTTTACAAGTGCATATTGTATGCCCAGCATTGGGCTAGCTACCATGGAGATGTGTAGGGTTTAGTTCCCCCTTTTAATTGACTTACCCCTTCACCTTTACTCCCACCTCCTAAAGTTGTGATGTTGAGGAGAGTAGAGATATGATGAATCAGAAAAAATGAGAGATTTTTTTTTCCTGGAAAGTTTTGGGGTTAAACATTTTTTTTTTAAATCATGATTTAAATTTTAAAAATTTGGAATTTACTCATTCAGATAATTTCTAAAAATTATATAAAACAAATGTCTCAATATGAGACTTTTACAGTATTTAATCAGATATATATGAGATGAAGTAGTATGGAAAACTTCAATATCAAGGCGTTAGTGTTAGTGGCCTTTTTTGTTGTTTAGGACAAGCTTCCTCTTTCAGGAGATGGAAGAAATTAGTGTGTTATTTGTTTGAGTGCTTATTCTTGTTGACTTCTAATTTTGAGGTCGATGAGTAAGTGTTGCCTTCCTGAGGAGACCTCAGACATACACAACATTGTTTTCAGAGTTTATCACGAAATTGGATATCCTCTACAAGATCCATACGTGAGTTAAAACAGGGATGAGATGTGTGAAATGGATTCATGTCGTGGATACTCTCTTTCAAAGATTCAACAAGAAAGTGAGGAATAAAATTTTGAGACTGAATCTCTGTAGTGAAAGTTGTCAGGAGGGGAGGAATGTCTTTTTGGAGTTAGCTATAAAAAGCACATCTCTTTTGAAAGTAGCAGCTGAAAACCTTACTTCCCTGTAGAACCACCTGTTCTAGAGGGTGCCTTCTGAGTGTGACTGTACAATTCCATACGTGTTTTAAAGGGACTCTGGCCAGCAAAATTGGCATCTGATTTTTTTTTTTTTTGCCACATATTCCTCACAGTTAGTACAGATAAAACATTGTTTTCAATACTCTGAATTTTTCTCTTTTTTAAAATATGGAAGAAAGAAAAGTGACTTTATTAAGATGGAGAATGTTTTCTAAATCATGTTGCTGCAGATCACTATAGAATCCAAGGTTACATATAAA